TCCAGGTAATAACCCAGGGGCCACGCCAGGCTCGCCAGCACCTGAGCCACCGGCAACAGATAATGACGGGGGAGCAGGGCAGGCAGAGCCAACCCCTCAATCAGGAAGCAAATTAAAAAGGGGAGGAATCTCCCAGACAGACCACAACAATGAAGCCGGCCCCCTTTTCAGGGCACTGCCCGCCCTCCCCCTACCCGGTCAAGTCTGCCTGCCAGGTCCTGATACCCAGCCTTCCTCTCTAATCCCCCTCTCGTGGGATTCAGCTGGAGGTTTTCGGGGTGACCCTGCTGGCAGGTTGGGGGCAGTGCCCAGCTGGCCAGGGCATAGGATGCTGGGCCTCTTATCAAACCTCTTCTTCCAATCCTGACATTGGATTCCTGCAGGGCACTGGGCATAGGTCAAGGTGAAAGAGGAAGGCTCAGGGCATGTTTTTGGTGCAACATCTTGAAGCCCATGAGGCAAACTCTGGGTAGTTGTGACAAAGGGTTTTATGGAGAACTCACCAACCTCTGACCTGGCGGTCGGTCCCTTCTCCTCTGCAAAGGGCACCATTTATTCAATCCAGTGCAATGGGTAGTTATTGCACATTCTGCTCCAGTCACTGAGGTGCTGGGGACATTCAAAGATGAGCAGAAAAAAAATCCCAGTTGCTCAAGGAGTTCAGGATCTGAGACACACATAACAAATCCTACCACCCAACAACAGCATTAATCCTTCCATATTTTAGGACCCTGGGAGCACAGAAGAGGGTTACTTGGAGAACAGAAGCATCACAGAGGAGGGAGACGTATGAATTGGGTTTCAAAGGAACAATTAGAACTCATCAGGCAGAGAAATGGAGAGGAGTATTTGACAGGAGGGGAAAAAAATCTAGGGCGTGGAAATAGGTAGGCATTGGAGGATGGAGAAGTCCCCTGTGTCTAGAACCTGGAGAGTGGGAGGGACATGGCTGGAAAGGTAGCCTGAGATCCAATGGGGAATGGGACTTAGATTTCCAGCCAGAGTGTGGATTTTTCTTCACACTCATAAACTGCATTTTACCACTGAGCTACATTCTCAGTCCTTTCTATTTTGTTGCCAAGGTTGGGCTCAAACTTATGACCCTCATGCCTCAGCCTCCCAAGAGCTGGAATTATAGGCATGTGCCACCACATCTGGCTTTATTGAATGTTTTTCAGCTGAGGCACGGCATGATCAGGATCCTTCCACCCTTAGAAGAAAAAAATTAACTTCCCACAAAGAGCTAAAGGGATTCTGCTTTTTCTGCCTCTGCCTTTCTCTATGGCTACCACCCATCCAGCCCTTTTTCCTAGCTCCCACTCACTACTCTTGCTCCTTTTGTCCCAAACCTTCAGGTTAAGGAGGTGGGAAGCTTCACCCTTCCTCTCACCTCAACCCAATCCTGAATGTCCCGAATACCCTATTCCAACGGCCAGCTGAGGGACACACAAGGAAACTGTGCCCACTCTCTTCATAGATTTTTGTGCTTCAAATCCCCTGTTGTGTCCCCCCTCCCCAGGCTTCATTTTCCACTGCTGCCCTCTCTCACTGAGGAGTTTCCAGAAGCCTGGGTTCCAGGGACACATTCCTCTAATTCACTTGGCCATGGCTTATCCACCTCCTTCACAAAGATGCTGGGATGAGGACTGTGTGGGATGAAGAAGAGACAGTCCTTGCCCCCAAGGAGCTGCAACCAGCAGAGAAGATAAAACAGCCCCATGGAAACAGAGCATGAGGCACTAATTGCTAAGGAAATTCCTAGGAGCAAGCCTGTGATGTGCTGATAAGAGAAGATTCCTAGAGAAAGCAGCTTTGAGCCTGGAGCTGGAAGGATCTGCTTTCTGAGGCACGCATGGGGTGGCAGGGGTGGACTTAAGGCCAGCTGTGCTGAGTGAACATCACATCTGGCTGGGCCACGGGGAGGCTAAGGACCAAGCGAAGATGGAAGGTCTGAGATGTCCCAGCTAGCCCTGGAGAGCCACGGGATGCATTGAGATGGGAAGCGCATTGTAGTGGCAATTGTAGGATAATCCATCTGTTATCTGGGACAGCCTAGGTGGGTGAGCACAGGCTGACAGAGAGCCCAAAGGAAGCCTGAAAACTAGTCTAGATAAGAAGTGACTCCTGTCAGCAAGTTGGCACATCCCCAACATCTAGCTGTCCTAGATCGCTGCCCATTTCACTTCCTTCCTTCATTCAACAAATATTTAGGAAATACTAAGTACTAGGCATCGTTTCTGCTCTTCCTTCATCCCCACCTGTCTGATTCTGGGACGGACCAGAGGACAAAGGCGAATGCTCACCCCCCACACACCTGAGGCACCTCAGTCCACCCCCACCCCCCGCCGATGCCCCAGCTAATCCGGAGCTTCTACTTTGGGGCAGGAATATGGAGAAACATCAGAGATCTGCAAGCAGCACAGATTTGGGGAATAACATGCTAGGAATGTTGGGGGGTCAAACTTGGGTATCGGAAAGCAATTGGAAGGTGGGAAAGGAAAGTTGACAGCTCGACGGGGGGGGGGGGCGCTGGAATTTTTGAGGGAGAGAGGTTGGGTAAGGAAGGTAGAGATAGGGAAGACTGGTGGGAGAGAGGCCTCTGGGGCTGAGGATGGGGGCCGAAGGAGGGAGGGAAGGAGGGACAAATTAGAGAGTGAGAGAAGGAAGTAGAGTCTTAGCAGTTAGGGGTGGAGGTGGGGGGACTGGGAGGCGAGGGCAGAGGAAATGGGCCCAGGCGCTGGAGACAGAGTCTGGGAGTCTGAGCCGCTGAGGAGCCACCTGGAAGGTACAGGCAGCGGCAACATCAAACTTGAGATCCCAGGGTTGGCTCTGGGAGGGAACTGGAGTTGGGAGGTGGGGGCGGTGGCTCCAGCGGGGAGCTGAGGGCCAGCCAGCTACAGGGCCTGGAATCTACCATGAACCCTGCTGGGGTTTCACCCTTCTCCAGCCCCCACCCCTTCTTCTGATGACCAGCACCAAGACTCCAGAGTTCCACCCGCACTCTGCCCACCCCTCGGTGCCCACCCTCTGGCTCTCCTACCTCATGCCTGCCTTTGTAATGGGGAATCACATTGTTGGGAGGTGCAGATAAAGGAGGAAAGGGGTTCTCCTGCCAAGCAGGGTCCTGATTGTGTTCATTGTTCTCCACCCCACAACCCAGGCCGAGTCTCCACGCACCCTTTACTGATCCAAAGCCAGGGAAGGTGTGTGGGCCCGCAGGTCCAGGCCCCGGGGTGGGTCATTGTGTGGACCCACAGGTCCAGGCCCAGGGCTGGGTCTTTTTCCTCTCTTGAACTCCCCCCACCCCAAGATTCTCCCCATCTTCTCAACTGGACCTGCTACCTAAGCATATGGAACCGATTGAAAGAATTTGTATGCTCACCTTATAATTTATGCAAATCAACTCTGTAATTAACTATAATTTGGAGGCATCCTTTGGTATTTGAGACATTTATCCATGAGGAAATGCCCTAGTGATAATGCTCCCGTATTAACATTATTTACTCCACCTGTGTGGTCTCCTTAGCTTCCCCCCCCTACACACACACACTCTGATTTTCTGAGCTGGAAGGTGGGGAGATACAGGGAAGCCCCTCCCTGGATCCAGCCTTGGTCCTGACGCCTGGGTTCCCCAAGGGGGTTGTGCTGGCTCTGTCCTCCAATTCTGCTTAGGATGCAAGGAGGAGATGAAGTGCTACCCGTTAAGCCCCCACCACTGTACTCTCTCTCCTGCTTGATGGGTGGCTTCCTGTGGAGCTTTTGCCTCTTACAGCCTCAATGTTCTCACCTCTGAAATGGGGAGAGGAAGAACCTGTCAGGGCCTTTACAGGATAATTACTGAAAAGCTAATGAAGACACTGGGAATCCCCAGTCTAGAGGTGGCTGGGGGGAGGGGAGGAGCCAGAGAACATTTGGGATGAAGGTTCCCTGGCTCACCTTGTGGGAGGGAGGTAGCACACCAGCCTTGGGGTGCTGGGTTCTGAGTGGGGCGGTGAACAGCTGTGCCTGCACCGCACCGAGGGCCACCGAGGGCTTCTGGCCTTGGCTGAGAAAGGATGCATCCTGCGGAAAGTCCCCAGGCCATTCTCCTGTGGGGATCAGAATCCTCAGCTTCAGAGAGCTTTGGGGGGAATGGTCTTATTCTGTTTCAACTCTTCTCCTTCTAAGTTTTTTGGTCCCTTTCTGCTCTAGAACAAGTTCCCGTCAGCCAAATGCCACCCTAAAGTTCGCGTTGTGTAAATAATTGGGGATGTGGGGGCTCCACCTGTATTCACCTCCAAGCCTTTTCCCCCTTTCCAGGCCACCTTCCCCTACTCCCCTATGCCCCCCGCCCCCCACCTCTTCATCTTCCTGTAGTTCCAGGTCCCCCACTGACTACAAAACTGTTTGGCTGGGCTCTGCAACTGGTCGTAAGTGAGCCCTTGTTCATTCCAAGCTGCCCAGCCCAGGCTGTGAGGGAGAAGGTCCTCTTTCCTCATTTGACTGTGAAAGATCCCAGGGCAGAGGCAGGAGAGACCCTTGGAGTAATCACAACCCTGATGCAGAGCTCTGCAGAGAAGGACTGGCTTGAAGCCGTGTGTGTGTGTGTGTGTGTGTGTGTGTGTGTGTATGTGTGTGTGTGTTTCGGGTCTTAAAAGTGGAAGCTTTTTCTTTCCCACCAAGTCCATGGAGAAAAACCTCAAAAGGAGGGGATGGAATTTGGAGAGTTCCAGCCTCCCCAGTGCTCTCCCCCAGCGATGCTTTCATTTCTTCCATCCCACAAGAACCACTTGGTCCCTCTCCCACTGCCCATCCAACCCCAGGGAAGGAAGTCCTTCTCCCCCAGTGCCCGTCCCCACCCCCAGCTGCCTTTTCCAGCTGAAACCCTCCTTTTCTGGCAGCCTCAGAGACTCAGATCTCACCCCCTACACTCCCCCAGGAGAGCTGGGGCCACTGTTTCCTGGATTATCCTAAAAGCTTCCGAGGCCGTGAGGATTTGGCAGCCTCTCTGCCCGCGTCTCTCACCTCCCCCTTTGGCTCTGGCTGTCGTCTCCTTTATAAAGCCTGGCTCTCTTATCACCCCCACCTGCCCCTCGATGCCGCTGCCAGCTCTGGGCTCCATGGACTGGTAAGAGAGGCTGCTCCCTGTTCAGTGCCGGGGACCTCCACAAAAAGGACCAGGACTCCACTCTATGGTGGGGGGTCATAGAGAAGAATCTGGAATGCTTGATTCTCTCTCAATTCCCCAACTGGGAGGGACCAGAGAGGGGGATAAGAGGGAGGTCTTGGTGGGGTTTGCAGAGAGAACCAAAGAAAAGCCCTTGGAGGTCTTTGGATGAGATCTGGGGGAGAAGAGGGTAAGGATTTATGACTGGGGACTTCACTCTGAGAGAAAGAAATGTAAATATTAATAGACATGCGGAGCTCACACACCACGTGGGCGTTCATGAATGATGGAACCCCTGCAGAAGGAGCGAGGGAGGACCACTGGGGAGTTCCCTTTACAATGGAGGGAGAGGACGGGCAGAGGCATGATGCACATACATGTTTGTGGACACATGCACACGGACATACGTGTGCACTACCTTTAGGGGGGTTCACCTTCCAGACATAAAAGGGATATTGGATGCTGGTAATACTTGGATTTATAAAAGAATTAGTGTTAGCCAGGCACAGTGGTGCACACCTGTAATCCCAGCTAATGAGGAGGCTGAGGCAGGAGGATCTTAAGTTTGAGGCCAGCCTGGGCAATTTAGCAAGACCCTGTCTCAAAATAAAAAATGAAAAGGGCTGGGGGTGCAGCTCATGATAGAGAACCCCTGGGTTCAATCCCCAGTACCAAAAAACAAAACAAAACAACAACAAAGGCAAGAGAAAGAGAAAAAAAAAATAGTAACAGCATAGTGCTTGGCCCTAGGTAGACTCTCAGTAATTATTTGTTGAATAAATAAAGGATGAACAAAATAAAATTATTTGACCCAACTCTATACTCTGCCTGGTTTTCCAGGAATATGGAAGAGTGAGGGAAAGGAGGAATATGTTGGTGTCAGGATCAGTCATCAGCTGACAGTCTTGGAAGTATCAGTCTTTTTTTTTTTTGTACTAGGGGATTGAACTTTACTGAGTTACATCCCTAGTTCTTTTTATTTTTTATTTTGAGACAGGCCTAGAACTAGCAATCTTCCTGCCTCAGTCTCCCAAATTGCTGGGATTACAAGCATGCATCTTTGAGCTCCGGGGTGGGAGAGGAATACAGTCTTGAAGTGGGAGTGTGAATAACTAGGAATTCAGGAGTTGGCAAAGTGGAGTTCTTGTTCCTCTTCTGCTTTTGCTGTGTGACTTTGAGCTACTTGCCTCCCTGTTCTGGGGTTTAGTTTCCCTAGCAGTAAAATGATGTATTGGATTAGACAAATTTTATAGGTAGACCCATTTTTATATTGTCATAGTGCAGTGTCTCCCAGAGAGTTTGGAAGGCACCACTGGTATAAAATGTGACTTGTTCCAGCAATTCAAGATGGGATCAGTTTATCCTATTAGATGCAGGATGGTGAATGGCTTGGATCAGTTTAAGAATGCTGTCCTCTCCACCCTGAGGATTTAGAGGATCTGGACTTCCAGAGCCATTATTTCTACAATAGTGAAGCCAGCTTGGATACCAGGCAGAATGTGTGCTTTGCAGCCTGACAGATCTTGACTTGGTTTCCTCCTCTGTCTCTTAACAGCTCTGTAATCTTGGGTAGGTCATTTAGCTTCTTTGATCCTTGGCTTCCTCATCTGTACAATGGGACTAATAATAATAATTACTTTGTTGCATGCTCATGAGAATTAGAGGTATTTCTGTAAAGCACCTAGAGTGCACATAGTAGGTATTCAATAAACAAATGATGCTTATGATGAACACACAGACTAAGGAGACTGTTCCAGATACAAAATGGATCACTTTCTATAAATAGAGCTTGAGAAGGATGGGGTAGAAGGAATGGGAGATGAATACTTTTGAGGGGAAATCTAACTAGACTTCTTAGGGGATAAGAGAGAGGAGTAGAAATGGTTGAAGTCCTGGGCAGATCTCAGTTTGTGTGGTGGGCAGTGTTGTTCAATCTTGACTCAAGAATATAGGCTGTGGGGCTGCGGTTTTGCTCAGCAGTAGAGGGCTTGCCTAGCATGTGTGAAGCACTGGGTTCAATTCTCATCACTGAATATAAATTAATTTTAAAAATGTCCTTTGACAACTATAATAAATTTTTTAAATAAAAAATATTAAAACAAAACAAAACACAGGGCTGGGGTTGTGCTCAGTGGTGGAATGCTCACCACCTGGGTTCCATCCTCAGCACCACATAAAGATAAATAAGTAAAGATATTGTGTCCATCTACAAATAAAAATATTAAAACAAAACAAAACACACAAAAAAGAATATGGGCTATGGTAGTTGAATGTAGTTGCACAAGTCTGCAATCCCAGTGGCTCAGGAGCTGAGGCAGAAGAATTACAAGTTCAAGGCTAGCCTCAGAAGCTTAGCAGAGGCTCTAAGCAACCTGTTCAAAATAAAGAAATTTAAAAAGGGGAGGGGGGACTGGGGATGTAGTTCAGTGGTCAAGCACCCCTGAGCTCAATCTCCAATACAAAAAATAAATAAAATAAAATAAAAGTATAGGCTGTGATCTTAGTAGTCATGTCAATACCAGACCGTGGCTATCTCTTGGTAGGAAAACACCTAGTAAGTGGGGAAAAAAGGGCTGGAAACAAAGGAATGAGATCTAGGGGAATCTGGAAGAAAGGCGGTAACAGGGCAGGAAGTCACAATGACTGAAAGTCTCCAGGGACAACACTGTTACTGTTGAATTTCATGTGAGTCACAGGCAGATGCAGGGTCATTGCTCTGGGGAACCCCAAGGAGCTGTGGTGTGGGGAAGTAGAGTTAAAGGGGGGCTAGGGTGAAAGTGGGGTAGGGTGTCTGCCATCCTTTTCCCTGTCGCTTTCCAGGAAAGGTGGACAGCATTGGGAAGACATCTGGTGCCTATAGATGGGAGAGATTCGGTCCTTTCATCCACATCAGACCCCCAAGGCCAACTTTAGCTCCACAAAAAGCAGTAAATGAGGCAACAGTAGGCAGTTGGGAGGGGAAGAACGGAAGTTCCAAGGGGTCTAATCAGTCTTAAACTAGGAATCAGAGTCACCAAAGTCAGATCGGGGACTCTGGTCTGGACATGATGAATCCCTAACTGTGCTTCAAAGGTGGCTCTGAACTGGGATGCAAACCCAACCAGCCAGGATTTGCAGGCTGAGTGGATGGAGATATAACTGTCTTGAAAAAAGGGTTAATTTAGCCACAGCCACCAAGATTCTTGTGAATCTATATTGCAGGTCCCAAGTACGGGGGAGAAGAACATCCCGGTTGATCAGAAATCTCAATTCCTGATGCCGAGGAAGTGCTTGCTGGCTTCCAAATGCCTTTCCTTCACACAGCAGGGCAGTTGGGGAAACTGAGGCTTAGAGTAACCTGATCCACCAAGGTCAGTTTAGCAAGTACAGGAGTGCAGAGCTGAGGGTAGAATTTAGGTTCATGAGCTTCTAATCCAAAGATCCTTATGAATATATATGAAATCAACAAACATTTCTGGGAACAGACTTATTTAATGATGAGGACAAGGATATCTTTCCCTTTCCCCGTGCTGGTCAGGGGGCACCTGGGCTTAGTATTTTTAGGTACAATTCCTTTAAGCCCCGGGGAAACCCTTCCAACTTGTTGTTCTCTGGTTGTCCAGATAAGGGAACTGAGCTTTAGAAAAGAAGGAGATGCACAAAAGAATCAGACATGGTCTCTAGATAAGAACGTGTGCGTGTTTAGGGGAGAACCATGCACGCACGTAGGCACACAGATTGATTGATTTTTAAATGGCTTGTAGATTTAAACATGAAACTATGGTCACACTTTAGTGTGTTCTAAACAAGAATGACGAAGGGTAAACCAATGAGCGTGGAATGGAGGAGACAGAGGTGAGATTAAATCAGCCTAAAGGAGGATTTGGCTAAAAACGAAAATGTGAAAAGGTGACGGCAAAGAGCATAGGGCAAGTCAATCCAGCAACGAAAGAAATAGGGAAATAGGGAAATTGATCATATATCCCCTGCTGGGGGGAAGGTCACCTCAGAAGATCAATGCCACTGGGTTTTTGGGAGGCAACAGAGCAATCAGGCAAGGAGCACCAAGCTACCTCCGACCGAGCACAGACAAGCAGGGCGGGGAGTGATGGGGGGGACCCCACCTCATGGGTCTCAGGATCTTGACTGATCTAGATCTCGAGAATTCTTAGGTGTACGCCGAGAACGCCCTGAAATTTTACGAAAATAATATATTGTGTGTGTGCTTTTATTTTTCTCAAAAAGAATCCAAGACCCTTCCCCAAAGTTAAACATTCAGGTTTGAATCGGGAAGATCTGATGGATCACAAGGGCTCGCCCAATTCTTTCCAGAAATGGCCCTTCCCAGCGCCATTCAGACGCCTCTATCCAGGCTTCAGAGCCCGGTGCTTCAGCGCGAGTGTGACGGGCGGAGGCACAGTACCTCCTGGACGGAGAGGAGGGGGAGGCGTGTTAGGGAGTGGGGTTAGGAAGCGCTGGGGCTGTCGCCTAAGGGAGGTGGAGGATGAGCGCAGAGAGGGCTTGGGAGACAAGTGGGAGCAGGTAGAAACTTTGGAGCTAGGAAGAAGTTGGTGGAGGTGGTGGGGGGGGGCGGTAAGCGGTCATCCAGAAAGGTGAGTGACCAGAAAGGAAGAACTAGAAAGCGAGAGGGAAAAGGACCGGGGAGGATGTGGGGAAGTGGAGAAGAAGCGCAGCCAAGACAAATTTCCCACGGCCTAGGCATGATTGTGGACCGGACACATACTTGGCGCTCAATCCTGTTTCCTTCTCTTCTCAGTATGGGACAGCGCTGTCTGGCCCCAGCAGGTGGGTCAAGGGCACCCAAAGCAAACGGCGCCCTAAGGATAGTTCTGTAAAACTCCCAGGACCTGCTCCCCTCCACTCCCCCAGGGTCTGAGCCGTCCTCCTTCAGACCAAGCCTGCTCCAGGGCAATTTTCCACTCGTTCGGGCGGGTCTCAGAACCTGGGAAACACCCCGGGCGGGCCCCTGGCACAGGGGGTGGAGGGTTCAAGGGAGGGGCAAGGGAACCGGAGGGATACGGCCTAGTTAGCTGTCCCTCCCCTTCGCCTGCCCGCCCCCTCCTCGCAGCCGGGCTGGGCTTCTGGTCCCGCCGAGCCCTCAAGGGTTAAAGGCGGCCGCAGGTGAGGTGGGCGGGGCCGCGAGTTCTGGGGAAAAAGGAGCGCAGGAGAGAGGATGAAGGCAGAGAGCGCGGTGAGTCACGGGCGGAGCTGGTCTCGCTCGCTCGCTTGCTCCCTCGCTCCCGCCCGCCCTCCGCCCTCTCGCGGGCTCTCTCGTTGCCGATCTCCGGGTCTCGTCGCGTCCCTACCCAGCCTTTGGCTCCTGACTCTCGCCACAGAGAGGAGTCCTGCACACAGGGCCCATGAGCGCGGGTCTGTAGCACACCAGCCAACCGTGCCTGCCGGGAGCCTGAGCTCAGCCTCCAGGTAGGAGCCCGGGTCGGGACCGCCAGGGGTGCGCTCTGTGGAAAGCCTTTGCGAAAAACTCGCTCCGATCGCGCCGCAGCCTCCTCTGGACTCGGGGGGGGGGGGGGGGGGGGAGCCCTAAAGGATCTGGGGAGCTTAGAGCCCGGATCGAAGGAAATTCGGGCGGATGGGAGAGGCGGCTGCAAACTGGGGAAACTGGAGCGACTGGGACAACCGGAGTACTGGCACACTGAAAACGGAGAGTACCAAAGTCCCGGCCGCTTGAGTGCCGGACATCGGGAAAAGCAGCCGGGTAAATGAGACTTAATGGTGTCTCTACTCGCCTTCTTCCCTAATTGCGGAGCGGAAAGCGATGGTGGGCGCTCTGTTCTCTCCTTTTCTGAAACCTAGGTAGCAGGCCATTGCGCACCAGGCCTGTGCTTTCAAGCTTTCTGTAGGGAGAGGCTACTCTGGAGTCTGGGTTGTTCTAGCCTCCCCATCCCCCAGCCCCTGGGGCAGTTCCCAGGCGCCAAAAGCTATTAGGGTCCCTAGCCTCACTGCTCCCGCCCAGCCCCTTCTGGGCTGCCCCGCCCGGGCCTGAGGCTTCGTTCCTGCTGCTTCACCCTGTTCCTTTCTTGTGGTGAGGCAGCCAGAGCCTGAATAGGCGCCCCAGCCCTCTTCTCCCTGCCTCTCCCAGACTATCAATGCCACCTCTCTGGTCCCAGAGGCATAGGGTGGCAAGAGGAGAAGACCTTACACTAAATCATTGGCTTCCTCCCCCACCATCAGAAAAGGCCCACACAGGAGGCAAAAAGCTCCTACGTCTTAAGGAGAGATGATAAGAGGGGGACCTTCAAGTCACAGATGTGTGATTAAGAAAGGGGGAAAGGGTCCTTAGATTCTTAATAGTTTAGGAAAAGAGTAACAATCAGAAGCCAGGAGAATTGGTTCACAGAGGTTCTGCACAGTACATATTTATTGACTGAAGCAATAAATGGACATACTTGTTCAAGCCACTGCTTCAAATTTGGCTTTGGTTTCCTTTTTAAAACAAGAGGGTTGGCCAGGAGCAATGGTTCTCAACACCTGGCTTTACATTAGAATCATTTGGGGAGCTTCTCAAAACTATCTGGGCCTCGGATGCACTCCTTTTATCATCTTGGCAATTCTTGATCTTAAGTGATTATGGCTTTTCTTGCTGCCCTCCTCTCGCTGACCTCTTACTCTACCACCTTAAAGGGGTGGCAATTGTACCTTCCTGAGTTTTCTGACAAGCTCTTTCTGGGTGATCCCCTTCTCTGGGGAATCCAAACTTCCCAGCTTCATAGCTGGGTCTCCCCTAGCTTGGAGAAGAGAGTTGGCTGGCACTGGTGTGGGTCAAGACAGAGAAGGGAGATTTGGCTTTCTCTGATGGGGGAAACTCCCCTGGAAACTGGCACTACAGCTGCACCCGAGGAAGGCAAAGTCCCTGCTGGAGGGAAGAGAGTGGAGGCTGGGCGTAGGAGTGAGTTTGGAAGGGCCCAGTCAACCAAGCCAGGCAGGAAGCTGAGAAGAGTAGTGTAGACCAATGCTCTTCATTCATCTTGCCTGTGATGGCATGAGGGCTCTTTCTCCCCAAACTCAGCACTTTCCTGAGGGGCAAGTTACCTGAAGCTTTGGGTTGCAAAAAACAGGCCACCTTTCTCTCCCTGTCTGTGTCCTGAGTTAAAATTGGGAAGCTGAGATGGGTTTAGTGTTTCCATTTGGCAGCAGATCTGCAGGGGGAAATGCCATTGCCCCCTTCTCTGACCTGAGTAGCTAGGGTGAGGACTGTTCTAGCATTTTAACTTAGCACCCTGGGACCAGCCCAACTTCAGGGACTTATAAGAGGGGTCACTTAGAGGAAGGGTCTTCCTCTGCCCTCCTGGAGGCTCACATTCTCAGTCTGTACTCCCAAACTCTTAACCCATCTCTAGTCCTCTCCCAAAGACCACCCCTTCCCCTCTTCATTTTATTTTTTAACCTGGATACCAGAGAGGAACACTTCGCAGGGAGGGGATCAGGATTACAATAGAAGAAGAGCCCGTTATTTTCCTCATCTCTTCTTTGTCTCCTTTAGGTTCCATCTGAGGTGCCCTTGACCGTCCCTGCCCCCACCCACCCCGGATCCCGGCAATGCTAACCGCTGTCTGTGGCTCTCTGGGCAGCCAGCACACCGACGCGCCTCACGCCTCTCCACCGCGCCTCGACCTGCAGCCTCTCCAAACATACCAGGGCCACACGAGCCCCGAGGCTGGGGACTACCCTTCCCCACTGCAGCCTGGAGAGCTGCAGAGCCTCCCGCTGGGCCCGGAGGTCGACTTCTCTCAGGGATATGAGCTGCCGGGGGCCTCCTCGCGGGTAACCTGCGAGGATCTGGAAAGCGACAGTCCCTTGGCCCCGGGACCCTTTTCCAAGCTCTTGCAGCCGGACATGTCACACCATTACGAATCGTGGTTCCGGCCGACGCACCCAAGCACAGAGGATGGTTCCTGGTGGGACCTTCATCCGGGCACCAGCTGGATGGACCTCCCCCACACTCAGGGCGCATTGGCCTCACCCGGCCACCCGGGGGCGCTTCAGGCTGGCTTGGGGGGCTATGTCGGAGACCACCAGCTTTGTGCGCCGCCGCCCCATCCGCACCCTCACCATCTCCTCCCAGCTGCTGGAGCGCAGCACCTTCTGGGGCCACCCGACGGGGCTAAGGCCTTGGAAGCGGCTGCGCCAGAGTCCCAAGGGCTGGATTCCAGTCTGGATGCGGCTGCCCGGCCCAAAGGCTCCCGGCGGTCGGTGCCCCGCAGCTCAGGTCAGACGGTGTGTCGCTGTCCCAACTGTCTGGAGGCCGAGCGATTGGGGGCTCCATGCGGTCCGGATGGGAGCAAGAAGAAGCATTTGCACAATTGCCATATTCCAGGCTGCGGAAAGGCCTATGCCAAGACGTCGCACCTGAAGGCGCATCTGCGCTGGCACAGCGGCGACCGTCCCTTCGTGTGCAATTGGCTCTTTTGTGGCAAGCGCTTCACGCGCTCGGATGAGCTTCAGCGCCACCTCCAGACCCACACTGGAACCAAGAAGTTCCCCTGTGCGGTCTGCAGCAGAGTCTTCATGCGCAGCGACCACCTGGCCAAGCACATGAAAACCCACGAGGGCGCCAAAGAGGAGGCTGCGGGAGCGGCCCCGGGAGAGGCCAAGGCCGGAGGTGCAGTGGAGCCCCCAGGGGGCAAAGGCAAACGAGAGTCTGAGGGCAGTTCGGCCCCCTCCAACTGAAGCCCTCTGGTGCCGCCTCCCTGCCGGTGTCCCTGGGACATCGGAAGAGAGCACCTAGGTCTGACGTCCTAGTGGGCGGCTTGATTAAGAGGGGAAGGTGGTTATTTATTGAGGAGGAGGAAAAGTGGTGCGGGGACTGGGAGACAGGCGGTAGGGGTTTTTTGGTCTCTGGGGGCTGGACTGGTCGCCTTGGACTGTTTTAGGCTGCAAGGAGCTGCACATGCCCCTCGGTTCTTCCCTTCCTCACTATTTTACTGGTCCCTGGGCCAGGGGTTGGGCTGGAATGGGGCACCCCTTGCTGCATCTAGGGGTGGAGGGGACCGGCTGGAGGAGATGGTGTTCCCCCCCCCCCCCAGTGGGGCAGGGGTGCTGCAGCTACCTGTCTGGACACATCCTTAGTGCCTGGGAACCCCGGAGCCACCCTGAGGCCCGGGTCCCTTTCATCCCCCTTCTCATGCTCCTGCCCCTAGGGTTTCCGGAGAGAGCTGAGATGAGGTGGGGGAGGCCGGTGGTCCCTCTTAGAGGGAGTGTCTATCTAGCTTGGAGAGTTGCTGAAATAACTCCTTTGATGTGCCTCTTTATTAACCCTTCCAGACCTGGTCTGATAGGGCCACAAAGGAAGAGGGGACAGCTTCTAAGTCAGAGATGTGGGTGGATGACAGAGTTAGATGGTAGGTAGGGTGAGCAGAGAAGTCCCTTTCTAAAATGAGAGATAGGAATGGGGGAGGACTGCAGATAGAAGAAACTAACCTTACCCTCTTTAACTTTGGTTCAGTCCTTAACTCTTGGTCATTTAAAAAATCAGGTGCAGTTAGTCCACCTGCCCCATTCATTACCCTAGGTAGGATTTTAAGGCAGCCAGTAGCACCAGCTCTAGAGTTGATGTAGTTCCTTATCCTAGGTCCCCATCATCTGCCTTCCTCTTGGGATGGAAGGGAGAGAGTTACTTAGGCTGGTTGGGGATAGGTAAGGGTGTCCCTGCAGAGGGACCCAACAATTTCCACCCAGTGTGGTGGACCGTGCCCCTGACTTTCCTCTCCTGTCCATCAAGAACTAAGGCCCCACTCTGTTAGCTTGACTCTTCTGAGTTCATTGCTCCTGCTATAGAGTTCTCCCCCTTACCTTGAGGGGGAGACTTCCTTCCATATGAAGGAGTTGTTCTCCCATTGGAAGGAATTCCAGGAAATTGTCCAGATCCTTCCCTTCTCTTTAGTTAGTAGAAATACATTTGGATTATGATCATGGGGGTGGGGAGGGGAGAAGCCCAGCAGAAGTTGAGCCAGGCTGAGAGATAAGAAACAGATATGGGGGAGGGTCTGGCAGGCCACAGGACCCTGGGGCTGGGGGAGTTCCCAGGAGAGAGGTAGGGGCCTTGAGTCTCTCTGACATCCCTTCCCCCTGCTCCTCTCTCTCCACCCAGAGCCCTCTGCAGGGATTAGCTGTGTATTGATTTTTAAGTTATAAGCAAAGGGTATTTTATTTAATATTAGGGCATGTGTGTGTGTGTGTGTGTGTGTGTGTTGTGTGTACACTGTGTATATGTGTGTGTTTCTCTACTGAGCCTGGGGTCTCCTGAGACCCCAACTTGTTCACCTGTCCAAGGTCTAGGGCATAGACCCACAGCATCTCTTCCTCCCTTGGGGATGCTGGAGCCCAGTCCAAGGACTGGGAGCTATATGGGAAGTGGGGGCTGGGATCTGGGTGGGAATATGTGTTTGTGTAGAAAGGGCTCCCCTTGAAAGGGACAGGGTGACTTTCCCTGTGGGACTCATGAGCCTGCAGTAGTTTAAGAAGTAAGGTTCTTTCTATATTCTCCCTCTTTCCCCACCTCCTTTGGTCACAACCAGAGGCCCCTTCCTTGCCAGAGCTTTAAGGGAAAGAGGGGAGTTGACTGCGCCTGCAGGTTGCCTGACCAGGCGGAGAGGGGGAGAAAGGAGGGCACCGTGGGTGTAGGATGCCTTTCTCCTCCACCCATGGAAACCAGCCACCCCCTCCCTGTGCTACCAAGTGACCATTCCGAGGGGAACTCCCAAAAGGGTATTTGGTAGGGGGACATGGATATTCCCCCTTAAAGAGGCCTTGAGTCCTAAGGTATGCAGGTGGGGGCTTTGAATAGGTTTTCTTCTGCTCCCCTCTTTTATAGTTCTAGGTTTTTTGGCTGCCTGCTCTTCTAGGCAGCCCCCCTAGAGGAAAATGTAGGAATTTATTTTTCTTTAACTGCTGTGAACCCATTTAGGGGGGAGGAAGAGGAAGAAACAGCCTGTGTTTTTTATGCAACAATAAAGTCATCAACCACATCATTGCCTCATTTGTCTTCTAGCTTGGTTTCCTTTTTGACAAGGTATACCTCCGCAGTGAGGACCAGATCAGGGCTGCAGGGCAGGGTGGAGACTTCCCTTTGATCCTGCAGCCCCTGGACAGCCTCACCTCCATCCATTTGGTTGGGTCAGAGCTGGGGTCCGATCCTGCCCTGGAGGGGTAGTGGGAGGGAGGGACTTTCAATGGGTTTACTGCTGAGCTGTCCCTCCCTGGTCTTCACCTGTGTAAGTTTCTAGATATTTCCTTCTTCCTCTCTATATAAGTCCCCTCTTTCCCTTCCCCTAAGAACCTGGTTCCTTCCCTTCTCAGCCAGAGCCAGCCTCTGGCCCCTCATCCCACCCCCATGGATGCGTGCATGTCAGTCGGGCCCTCTGGCTGTGAGTGAGGTGGGGGTGACTGACAGCAATTTCTTCACCCAGATGATCCCTATCAGGGACAAGGCGATGAAAGGCAGCCAAGATATCTGATGGGCTCCTGCCCAGCTGGAAAGTCTTGAGGGAAAGGTTGCTACTGCAACTAGCAGCTAGAGACGTGTCACGGTTACTCAACTGCAGTGTACACAGACAGCTCACTGGACCCACTGTGTGCCTCACTCAGAGGGATGCAGAAATACTCATCCATACACACTTTTCCAGGCATCTGGTGCCCAATTCGCATCAAGGGAGTAAAAATCTCAAGACTCCAGAGCCCTCCAAATAGGAAAGTAAATGGAGGGTCCGGTTTAGGCCCCAAAGAGGTAGGGCTATGTTTTTTTTTGTTGTTGTTGTTGTTTTTCCCACTTCCCACCCTTGTTTTTGCCAAATGTATTATTTTCCCCTAATGGGATTCCTATTTCCCCCACTCTATCCCTAACCTAATTTCTCCAACCAAATCTGACTCTCACTTGGCCCCTTCTATCCTTGTGTCTGAGATTCTGGTCCACAAAGTTTAGGAGAATGAACCTTGGGATAGGGGTATTGGAATGATTTAAGGGTTATAGAGGTAACCAGACTTATTTTTTTTTGGGGGGGGGCAACTGTTTATTTCTATCTGTTCTGGGATTTAGCAATTTGGGAAGAGGAGGAACAGGTGTGTTTCTCTGTGACCTCATGCCTGCAGCACTCCTGCTGGGCACCTTTTTTGTCTTCCTGGTTCTGGGGGAATAAGACCCCAGAAGCCTGGTGAATCCCCTCCTTTTTCCACAGGTTGCCCCCAGGGATAGGAGGGCAGCTGTGGGGCCGGCTAGGCCTGTTTGGGCAGGGTTGAGGCTGCTCCTCCTCCCCTTGCAGCTCCTCCCGTTGACCTGCATTCTTAGCGGGGGCCTTTGGTGGGGCTGATGCTTGCTTGCTCGTTTGCAATGCTGCCTGGCTGGCCTGGGCCCCCTGACTGGAGCCCAAGTCCACCTCTGACCCCTCAGATGTGGTGCGCAGACACCATGATCCTGGCGATGCTGGGAGGAAATTAGGGAATCGCTTCGGGGCTGACCCTATGGGTGACCTCTTTGGGCAGGCTCCTCTCCTGGGAAGTGAAGTAAAAGCCCTGTAGGGTGGGGAAATGAAGTCAGGAAGGGAAACCTGACAGCGGAGAAGGCAGCCTACCAACTGCAGCCTGAGGCTGCGCTACGCTCTCTCCTAGTCTATTTTCTCCTTCTTCTCTTGCCTGCTCTCGCCACCCAGCGGGCAATCCGAGGAAGTGCAGAAAGTGAACCGGTTTTGGGGACGCAAAGCCTTGACATTTGCTGCAATGACAACCAATAGCATCCTCACAGCCCCTCCCCAACGGTGCACTAGAAGCCACCCTCACCGTCCCAATAAGCCTAGCTTGCCTGACCGCTCAGCATGTTAGCAGTGTAGGCTTGAAAAGAACCTTGGGAAACAAACTCCACAAAAAACTGTTAGAACGAATCAATTAATAAAGTCACAGAAAACAGTCAGCACACAAAAATCAATAGCATTTCTATACAAACAATAAACTATCCGGAAAAGAAATCAATAATCCTGTTAGGTGCAGGGCAGGCTGAACTAAGTTGTCTGTAGGGCAGGCTGAACCAATGTTAGCTGCAGGATAACCTGGGCACTCAAACCCCCCTCTGTCTGGTCCTTTATCACCTGTTTGCATCAAGTCTGAACACTCAACCCCACTCAAGGCTGAACACTCAACCCCACTCAAGGCTGAATACTCAACCCTACTCAAGGCTGAACACTTGATCCCCACCCATCTGGTGCAATGGAAACCCACATCTGACCCCTGCCCCATAGGTCTGAAGGCAGAAGATGACACTCTTAGCAACTACTGTATGATCCAATCACTGTACACCAACAAGGCAGCTTGCAGACCCAGAGACCTCATTAGATTTGGGCTATAAAAAACTCCCTCCTGCTGGTCCCCCCCTCGCTCTCTCTCTCTCACCCCCCTTCTCTCTTCCACTGCTCTCTTTCTCTCTCTCTCTCTATTTTCTCCTCTTTTTGCACTGCTGCAATAAAGATCTCTTGGTTGCTCCGAGTGTTGTGGTCACTTTCCTTTAAAATCCCATTTACTAATAGTTTATAACATAGAGGTCTTTTTTGTTTGTTTGTTTTTGGTACCGGGGATTGAACTCTCGGGGACACTTGACCACTGAGCCACATTTCCAGCCCTTTTGTATTTTATTTAGAGACAGGGTCCCACTGAGTTGTTTAGCATCTTGCTTTTTCCTGAGGCTGGCTTTGAACCTGAAATCCTCCTGCCTCAGCCTCTTGAGCCACTGGTATTACCGGCGTGGGCCACCGCGCCTGACACAAATAGGGATAATTTAACAAAGTATGGGGAAATATCTGTACACTGAACTGCTAAGACATTAATGAAAGAAATCAAAGAATACACGCACACATACACAAATGGAACAATATTCTGTGTTCATAATTTGGAAGAATTAATATTGTTAAAGTGTCCATACTACCCTAAGGGACTTACAGATTCAATACAATCCAGGGCAGTACCTAGTCTGTAATGTACCCCATTCCACATTCCTGGAGGGCTCCATGAAGCAAAAGTGTGTGAGATGAATTTTGCTTAAATTCTGGCTATGGAGATAAGTTTATTTTTGTTATTGGTACTGGAGATTAAACCCAGGGCTTCCCGAAGGCTACTCTACGGATATAACCCTCTATCACTGCAAATGCTAGATCTTCAGACTTTTTTTTTTTTTTTTTTTAAGAGAGAGAGGGTCTTGCTGTCTCGTTGTCCTGTCCAGGTTGGCTGGTCTGGAACTTGAGAGATCTTCCTTCTTCAACCTCCTAGGTAGCTTGGATTAGAGGTTTGCGCCACCCCACTGGGTTTATGGAGATGTTTTATAGTGCAAAATAAACTGGAAGTCAGAATATTTAGGATCATGGGGCTGGGATTGTGGCTCAGCAGTAAAGCGCTTGCCTAGCCCCGACGGGGGCCGGGTTCGATCCTCAGCACCACATAAAAAAAAATAAAGGCATTGTGTTGTGTCCATCTACACCTAAAGTGTAAATTAAAAAAAAAATATTTGGGATCATGATCCGTCTCTGTACTGTGATGTGTCTGTTCCCCTTGGCCAAGACGCTTCTTTTTCTGTTTCAGTTTCACTATATGTAAACACACCAAAGCTTTGGACTAGAAAATTTTTAAATTTCCTTTCAAAGCTATATTCTTAAAAGCATTATGGGGCAGGAGAGAACTTTTGGGGTGGGACGACATGCATATGTGTCCTTGTGCCTTTTTATAAAAAGGAATTGTTATATCTACACCTATTAGCTTGTGACTTTGGAATTCAAGATAGGACTCAAGTAACTGAGATTCTTCCTTAATTTCCAGATGCCCCAGCAGTCCCCGATCTCTTAGGAAGCTTCCCTTTTCACGCAGATTCTTTTCCACTCCCAGCTCTAGCTCCCCACAGCGACCCCATCAGATGAGGGGGCGCCCTGGTAATGAGCTGCAGGAGTCCCGCAGGACTTGAAAAACCGCTGCGCTCGGAGAAGTGGTGTTCGCGCGCACCCAGGTGGAAAACAGTGGAACCGCAGGTGCGATCTTCTGGCTCCGCCTCCGGGGCCAAAGGCCTTCCAGGTCACCTAGAAGCTTCCGTCCATTGGAATCCACCCGACACGTAGCGGAGGAGGAGGCTCCAGTGACCAAGTTGGGGGCGTTGGAGGCTGAAAGAGTGAGGGGTATACGGTACTGGGGATGGAAAGGGTGTGAATGGAAGAGGGGAGGGTCTTGGGCATGCGCAGGAGCATGGGACACCAGAGAGAAGTGGGAGAGCCTGTGAGTCCGTACCACTCCATCCTAGACTATCAGGGTAGGACTCTCGGACTAGGACTCTGCGCCGCCAACTGACTCCAAGCCATGTGCTTGGGTTTGTCTGATTCCAGGCATCAAGTGTCCGCGCTGTTCAGTGTCTTCCCTGTGTATACACGTGTTGGGGGAGGGAGCGCCTTAGGCCTGAGACGTGGGCAGGATTATGGAAAGGTGGCATGAAAGGGACACAGTTGTCCCCCGCTCTCCGCAGATGAAGTCCTCAATCCATGACACCCCTTGTTCCTGCGACTGCTTGGTCTCCATGCCTCCGGCCTCTGCCATTCCAGCTGTGATCTTTGCAAAGAACTCAGACAGACCCCGGGATGAGGTGCAGGAGGTGGTGTTTGTACCAGCAGGCACTCACCCCCCTGGGAGCCGGCTCCAGGTGGGTAAGGCCTTATGCGATACTGAAAAAGGTGGCAGTTCTAGGCATTCTTCTAAGACCTTCTTCCTCTGCTTTCTACACTTGGGAGGTTGTCAGATGTGGTGCAAAAGAAATATGAGCTTCAAGTCTACCAACCTGGACTGTAAGCCTATTATTTAGCCAATGGACCCCAGTTTCCTCAGCTGTAAAATGGGAATAAGACCTTCCCAAGGACAATACCTAAGGTGATTGGCAAAGTGCCTGCACAGTGTAGGTTCTGGCTCTCTCTGAGTGGATGCTTCCTTTCTTTCTGCCTCCAGTGCACCTACATTGAGGTGGAACAGGTGTCGAAGACACATGCTGTGATTCTGAGTCGTCCTTCTTGGCTGTGGGGGGCTGAGATGGGTGCCAATGAGCATGGTGTCTGCATTGGCAACGAAGCTGTGTGGACCAAAGAGCCAGTTGGGGAGGGGGAAGCCCTGCTGGGCATGGACCTGCTCAGGTATGGATGCTTCCCTCCTCCATCTCCCTTTTCCTCCCTCCCCAAGTCTGGTTCATAGGGGCAGACTCCTTTCTGCTGAATTTGCCCTTATGCCCTCCCAGGGGAGGCTTCCCTGCCCCTCCTCTCTCCTGGCCCCATTTCCTCAGTCTGATAAGGAGCCTGTCCTGGCTCAGAAATAGGATGGCACTGGTTTACATTTTTTAATAGAGTAATTTTTTTTTTTCAATTGAAATCTCATGTAGAATCCAGGTTTATAAAACTGATAAGAGCAGCTCTGATGGAGGACAAGTTTGGGGCTCAGGGCACTTCTCTCTCTCAGACTGTTTCAGGCCTTCCTATGGAATCTTCAGAGCACAGCTTAGAAACCACTGTGTTTAATATGACCAATGCCAGTGGGTTTGCTGTGTGACTTGGGCTTGTTACCAAATATCTCTGGGTCACTTCTGTCCCCTGACCTCTTTCTTTGCCAGGCTGGCTTTAGAACGGGGCAGCACTGCACAGGAGGCCCTGCATGTGATCACAGGCTTGCTGGAGCGCTATGGGCAGGGGGGCAGCTGCCGGGAGGATCCCATGCCATTCTGCTACCACAACACTTTTCTGCTGGCTGATCGGACTGAGGCATGGGTGCTGGAGACAGCTGGGAGACTGTGGGCTGCACAGAGGATCCAGGGTGAGGGGCCCAGTGCCAGGGCCCACCTCCCAAAGTTGTTCCCCTTTGGAGGTGATAGAGCTGGTGGGGCAGAGAGGGACACCATCCAGGTGCCAACTTTTGGGGACATCCAAGGAGATGGGAAATGAACCCTTATAGGGTTCCTTTCACCTGGTTAAGTCCTCCTGTGGGTCAGCCTGTCACTTCCTCTGGGAAGCCTTCCTGGACTTCCCTGGGTAGTTAGGCTCTTCCTTACATGCAAGCAGGTACCTCTTCGCCATTGCATTTATCTCTGTGATTATTTTGTCTCCCCCACCTCTATAGCCCCATGAGGGTAGGGTGTTCTTGTCACCATCATATTCTCAGCACCTAGCCCAGAGCTTGGCATAGAATGGGTACTTCATGATAAATGAACAACTCCCCTATCTCCTCCACAGGGGGTGCTCGAAACATCTCCAACCAGCTGAGCATTGGCACGGACATCTCAGCTGAACATCCGGAACTTCGGAGCCATGCCCAGGCCCAGGGCTGGTGGAGTGGACAGGGCGCCTTTGACTTTGCTCAGGTCTTCTCTCTGACCCAGCAACCTGTGCGCATGGAGGCTGCCAAGGCACGCTTCCGGGCTGGGCGGGAACTGCTACAGAAATGGCAAGGTCTGTGAGTGTGGGTGGGTGAGTGGGGTCCCAGGAGGGCCACAGTTCTCCCTCTGCTGGGAATTTCACGCTTTCCTTCTTGGCAGGGAGCATCACAGCAGAGGTGATGATGGACATTCTCAGAAACAAAGAGAGTGGCATTTGTATGGACTCTGGAGGCTTCCGAACCACAGCCAGCATGGTGTCCATCCTGCCTCAGGATCCCACGCGGCCCTGTGTCCACTTCCTCACAGCCACACCAGACCCATCCAGGTGAGAAGAATGAGGGTTTGGGGTGCTGCGTACCAGGCAGGGGAGGCGACACGAGATGAGCCACCTCAGTCTTGCTGTCCATATTCCATTAGGTCAGTGTTCAAACCTTTCATCTTTGGGGTGGGGGCGACTCAGGCCCCCCAGGTGCTGTCCCCCACTTTTGGAGCACAGGATCCTGTTCGGACCCTGCCTCGATTCCAAACTCAAGTGGATCGCCGTCACATGCTCTACCGTGGACAGCAGGTGGCCCTGGGGCTGATGGAGAGTGAGCAGGTAACCCCAGGGGATAGGGTACACCCTGGAGGGACACCCCCACACCTACTGGCACTTTGGAAATAAGGAGCTGGGAGGAGACTGCAGAGCTGGGAGAGAGGCCCCACTTTTGGAGCCAGCTGCCATGGACAGGGTGGTGACCTTGGCTTTCTCCTCCTGAGACACATTCCCCGCTCTGGCCTTTTCCAGCAGGAGCAGGGGCAGCAGCTGCGGCAGAAGCAGCAGGACCTGGAGCAGGAAGGCTTGGAGGCTGTGCGGGGGCTTCTGGCTGGTGAGCAGACCCCAGCCCACCAGGAGCTGGGTGGCCTCTTCCAGGCCTTCGTGGAGAGGGAGAGCCGGGCCTACACAGAGCTGAGCACATAGCTCCTCCTGGCCCAGGGCGGGTGCAGGATCCTAGCCCCAGCTGCCCTGAGGTGGTGGTGGTTTGGGGCAATTCCTTCCTGCCCCTTGGCCTATTCTGTGTGGCTGGTACAGCCTTGGCCTTAATAAATGTGGTTTATTTTCTTGTTCAGTGAGCTGAATTCCAGGTTCAGTGGGGCACAAGAGGCTGATGAGGGCAAAGGGCAGACCCAAATTTGCCACACCAGCACATTTTAAAAATTTTCTTCTTTCCTTTGTTTTATTCCTCCCTTCCTTCCTTCTAATGTTCTCCCTTCCCTCCTTCCTTTTCTTTCTTCTTTCCTTCCTTATTTTCTTTCCTCTCTCAGGATTTAGCCCAGAGGTACATAATCACATCCCCAGCCCTTTTTATTTTTTATTTTGAGACAGGGTCTTGCTAAATTGCTTAGGGACTCACTAAGTTACTGAGGCTGGCCTCAAACTTGCAATCCTCCAGCCTCAGCCTCCTGAATCCCAGACATTACAGGTGTGCACACCACACCTAGCTCTACCCAGCACATTCTAATGAGGGAGGTGATAAGGATTAGCCATGAAATTTGTGGAGGGAATGTGAGAACAGGGAGGAAACATCCCTAATGGTGTGGGTATGTGTTATTTTTTTGTGTGGGTGCATACATGTGTGTGCATTAAGATCAAAGATCATGCCTTGTGTGGTAGCTGGCTCCTATTTGTGAGGACATTTATTTATTTATTTATTGTGATTGAACCCAAGGCCTTGCATGTGCTAGGCAAGTACTCTACCACTGAGCTACACCCTCAGCCCTGTCTGGGGACAATTAGGACCACAGGATTTGGGTCCTTGGCTTAGAACTGGGAAGGACACACCCTTGGAGGGGCAGTGAGGTGTACCCTGAGAGATGGCCTCCTCCATGAGGCAGTACCCACTTCCTGCCCACTCAGGAGCTGTGACGCCAACTGGGACCCTGAAGGATATCAGCCTTTTGGAAGATTAGAAATTTGTTCTTTAGCTAGGCATGGCGGTGCACACCTATAATCCCAGTGGTTTAGGAGGCTGAGGAAGGATGATCACAAGTTCAAAGCCAGCCTCAGCAACTTAGCAAGGCCCTAAGCAACTCAGGGAGACTCTGTCTTTTATAAATAAAATACAAAAAAAGGGCTGGGGATGTGGCTGGTTAAGCACACCCGGGTTCAATCCCTAGTACCAAACAAAAAAAAAAAAAGGAAGGAAGGAAGAAATTAGTTTTTTAGAATTAGGTTGCTATTTTATTTACTGGTTCCTTCCCCTGAGGTGCCGCCAAGTGACATGAAAAGCCTAGAGACAGTTTACCAGGGAGGGGCTCCTGCCACAGGTGAGGGGTGAGAGGACAAGAGGAAGCTCACATAGGGAGGTCACACGTCACTTCTTGGTATTTTTGGTTGCAGTTTTGGTTGTGCTAAGGGACCCAACCAGAGAGGCTTTGGGGGCTGCTGCTGCTGGGGCCCCCTTCCTTGCCTGGACAGAGCTTGGCTGGGCCCTGGGAACCAGAGTGCATGGTTTCTTGGTGGGAGATGAGGCTTGGAGTGAAGAGGCAGCCTCAGGGGGTGACTCCTTTCCTTGCTCTGGAGTGACAGAAGGGCTGCTCTCCCCAGCCTCGGGCACCTCGTGCTGCAGGGGCAGCTCAGTAAGGGTGGGCTGGATCTCCATCCTCAGAAGGTGCTCTGCCAAGGCCTCCTGCTGCCTGCGCTCCTGGTGTCTGCTCAGCTGCTCCAGCTCCTTGAGGAAGCCTGGGAGGGGCCAGGGTGGTGGCTGGAGCCTAGGGCTCAGCAGGAGGGCCCTCTGGGTTCTGGAAGGTCTCTGGGTGATCCCGCACCACACATCCTTAGTAGGGAGGAGCCCAAGGCTGACAATGGGGAGGAGTGAGTCCCCTGCATGCCCAGGACAAGGACCTGGCCTGGCTGCACTTTCTACCACCCATGACCCAGATGCTGATTGGGATTAAGGCCACTCCCCAGACACCACCACCCTCTTAGCTTCCTCCGGACCCCATAGGTTGCTGCAAGCTATGGAAAACAGTGTCACCTCGCTCTGAACAGAATGGGCCACTCAGCTCCGGGAACTCATCGTCACCATCAGAGGCTTTGTCCTCCTCATCTGAGGCCCAGCGCTCCGACACAGGCTGCCCATCCAGGTCCAGGAGCAGTGGCAGGGCTCCTAGCACCATCTCCCTGCAAGGCAGTAAGAGCAGAGGCTACTGAGGAAGGCATCCTTGGTGTGGAACCTGGGAGGACACAAGGACACATGTCACAGCATCCACACCTGGACAGGTGGCAGCTCATGGTCTAGCAGTGGGGCCTCAGGTCAGCCCCAAAGAGCTAAGGGCTGGCTTCTGTGCAGCATGGGAACGAAATGGGGAAGGAGCAAACTTGAAGTGTTGGGCTGGAGGAGCAGGGGCCATGGGCAATGCCAGGTTTGCAGGCTGGGAAGGAGCCCTTGTGGAGTTAGTAGGCGGAACTTAACCAGGACCTTGTTCCTCCCACCCTCAGTCCCTCACCTGTAGCACTTCTGCTTGGTGCAGCTGTTGCCAGTCAGGTTGAGGATGAGGAGGCTCTGGGGGAGCTCATCTGCACATGGAGAGACACAGGGAGTGAGGCTCTCATACCAACTCTGCACCCTCTGAGGATGAAGTGTATGTGCAGGATTGTGTTGAGCACAAGCACAGGGAGGTGGCGGAGGAGGGCAGAAAGAAGGGAGGACCCCACACAGGACAAGTGCCGTGAGCCAGGGCTAGGGTGTTCCTACCTGGCTTCAGCGTTTCTATCAGGTTCTCAGAGAGGTCCAGAAACTGGAGGTATGGGAGGTTGAGGAGGTTTTCCACGTGCCTGATTCTATTTCCTGCTAGAGACAGGAAACTAGGGAAGGAAGGGTGGGGGGCAGAGACAGGACTGTTGAGGAAGAGAGGAAGACACCAGACACCTGGGCCCCCTGTCAGGCAGTTGGATGACTAGTGGGGACACATGGCCTATGTGGGTAGAGGAAGCAGAGCAAGGCTTGGAAAGAGCTGATCAAGGCTGATCAAGAGCCAGGCTTGGAAAGCTCTGAGCAGGTTCTTGGGGTATTGCCGTGTTTCCCCTCCCACTCCTTACTCCTTCCCCCACCTGAGCCTTGGTGCCACATACCGCAAGGAAGGGATGCAAGCCAGGTTCTCAATTCGCTGGATCTTATTCTGCAGGAGGAAACCAAAGTGGGGGAAACCAAGCTGTCAGTTGGGTGGGGAGCCCTGTAAGGGGACAAAGCCCCAGTACCACAGCTGCACTTAAAGCTGGAGATGTTGCACTTTGGGAACAACCCCACTCCTGACTGCTTGTCGCTATCTTTGGGAGATGATTGGCTTTCTTTGGATGGATAGCTAAAAGTATAAACTTGGGGCTGGATAAACTGGTTTGAAGTACCCTTCTCTGACCCCGCAGCCAAAGAGGGACCTTGGAATCAGGGAAGGAAACCAAGGGCCACTAGAAAATTGGAAAAAGCCTTGGTGGTGACTTGCATGCCAAAAGGGGAAAATGAGCACATATTCATTTGATTTGAAGAGTTTCTGTGGGGAAACTGAAAGGGAGCTGGGAATATGAAGGCTGGGGGAGTCTGAAGACCACCACCAATGTTTAGCAGCCTTCAAGGATCCAAAAGGTGTAGAGGAATCTTCAGTTTTCTTCTTCTTCAAAACAGGAATGGGCTTGGGCTGTATAATATGAAAAGTTTAGGGCAGATACCAAGAAGAACTAGACCAAAAGAAGTGTCTGACTAAGGAGCAACAATTCAAGGGCATGTTCAAGATCTCTTTCAGAGGGATCAGTCTTTCAACTGAGGAGAATTCCTGATTTATTTGGGAATGATTTAAACATAGACCTATTTGTCTGAACATCAAAGAAGGCACAAGATGACCTGTTTGGATGCTTTTGGATTAGACAGACCTAGTCCACAAGGGGTCAGGGGAAAGGAAGAGCAAGGGGCAAGAGTTACCGCTTGTAGATAAAGACTGTGAAGATTCTGGAGACTCTCTAAGTTCTTGATAGTGGTAATCCCCTCCCGGTCCAGGCGGACAATCTGCAGCTCAGCAAGGGTGTGAAACCTGGGAGAAGATTGGGTGGAGTGGTGTGACAAAGCTCACCCCTGTGGTTTCAGCAGGAGAGATGGGAGGGAGGAGGAGGAGAAGAGATGTTTTGAGGAGGGGTAGATGGCTGAGTGACTCTCATCATTGTCAAGAACAGCTTCTTGACCCATGAAGTGATGTCCAGGTCGTGAAGCTGGCTTGCCTAAGAGACCTCTATCTCTGTTGATGGCACTGGGGAGAATCAGACTGAGAGAGTAGAGGCCCTTTGGGAAACTGAGTGAAATCCATTCATGATTCCTGGAGAGATTTGGAGGCCAGAAAATTCTTTCTTGGGCCAGCCTAGATGGTAGGTAGGGCAGTAATGACAGCATCTCTGCAGGAAGATCCTTCCTCATTCTACCTTTTGAGTGGTCCATAGAGTGAAAGTCACCCATTCCATCCACGAATTTATTCATTAATTCCACAACATTTACTGGGTTCCAACTAGAGATAAATGACAGAGTCTCTGCCCATCACTCTTAGGGAAGTCTTCAGACTCCCCCAGCCTTCATCTATGACAAGTGGGTGACAGAGCCAGGTACAAGGGTCTCTGGCAGCTGTGCACCAGGTCTGGAATAAGGGGATCCAGAATTGCTTTCTAGAGGAAGTGACAGATGAGTAGGAGTTAGCTACAAAGCTGGGAGGGGGACAGGGAGAAGGCATTTCAAGCAGAATGAACAGTACATGTGTATGCTAATTCAGCCCTTCTCAAACTTTAATAGGCCCACCAATCCCTTGGGATCATTAAAATGCAGATTCTTATTCAGTAGTTCTGCAGTGAGCCTCAGATTTTTTTTATTTCTAACGAACTCGTAGATAAATGCCAATGTCATTGCCCCCAACACCTTTGAGTAACAAGGTGCTAAGGTGTGAGAACACACTAATGGAGAGTTGTTGGAAATAGGCTGAAGAGAACAGAGGCCAACTCATTTTAAGGCATTTGGAGTTTATTGTGGAGATAATAGGGAGCTGAGGAAGTTTCTATTACAGAGTACCTGATCAGATTTGTTATTTAAAAGGATTGCTTTAAATAAATAATGTGGCTCAAGCGGTAGCGCGCTCGCCTGGCATGCACAGGGCACTGGGTTTGATCCTTAGCACCACATAAAAAATAAAAATAAAAAAAAATAAAGATGTTGTGTCCACTGAAAACTGAAAAAAAAAATTTAAAAAAAGGATTGCTTTAAGCCATACAGTACTACACACCTATAATTCCAGCAATTTGGGATTCTGAGGTAGAAGAACCACAAGTTCTACGCCAGCCTTGGCAATTTAGCAAAACTTTAATAAAGAGCCCTGGGTTCAATCTCAGTATTAAATAAATAAATAAAAAGATTTCTGAGAAAGGATGACAGCCTTATCTAAGGCAGCTGAGTGAGGACGCTGGAAAGCAGTTTTTTGTTGTTGTTGTTTTGTTTTGTTTTTGGCACTGGGATTTAAATCCAGAGGCCAGAGGCGCTGAACTACATACCCAGTCTTTTTTATTTTTTTTATTTTGAGATAGGGTCTCTCTAAGTTGCTGAGGTAGATATTGAACTTGCAGTCCTCCTGCTTCAGTCTCCTGAGTTACTGAGATTACTGCACCACTGTGCCTGACTGAAAGGAACGATTTTTTAAAAAATTTATTTTTTTAGTTGCAGTTGGACACAACATCTTTATTTTATTCATTTATTTTTATGCAGTGCTGAGGCTCGAACCCAGCGTGCTAAGCAAGCACTCTATCGCTGAGCCACAGCCACAGCCTTTAAAAGGAACGATTTTTAAGGAGGGAAAATCATTGGACACGATCACTGATTGGAGAGGGAGTAAGTAAAGAAATAAGGATGAGTGGACGAATCTGTAGGGTTCAGCGAACTGGTCACTACGTGCAGCCCCCCCCCCCCCCCCCCCCCCCCCCCCCCCCCCCCCCCCCCCCCC